AGGAATCGGGTTTTTACCGTCCTGTTGCTGAGTGAGGCTTGTTCGGAGACAGCTGCTTAAAACTTAAAGATCTGGTTCTCAAAATCTTACGACTGCTAAGCTGAGCGTGGTGGCATTGGCCTGGAATCCTAGCCCTCAAGAGGCAGAGGCAGGAGGGTTTAGAGCTCACGGCCCGCCTGGGCTGGAGAGCAAGACCCTGTAGCCAAGCAAACAACAGCAACAACGAGAAAACTTGCAATTAACCCAAGTCTACTAGGACTGTGTGTGTGTGTTTGGAATACACAGTGTTTACATTCCGTTTGGGGTGTCGGTGCATGTATGTCATATTCGGTCATTTCCGATCCTTTTTCTCTCCATACCCCTCTCTCTCAGCCCCTTTCCCTCTCTCCGAAAAGTCTGTTTTATTATTTGGAGTTTCTCACGCGATACTTAACTTGCTGTGTGGGACATTCTTACTTGAATTAAAATTGGAGGAAAATTCTAACCTCAGTAGCCCCTGGTGTCGTGTTCGTACCTTGTTAGAAACGCGTAAAGCAGAGCCCAGCCAAGAGAAAGCCTTCGGCTTTCAGAACACTTTGATGAAGAAACTGTCTTTTGTCAGAGGGCTGAGCTGGCACTGTAGGAATACTGACAGTGATCTCTGCGGGTAAGGTCTTTTCTGGGACAGCAGGAGCCTTGTGTTCCGGTAATGGTGGTGCTTGCTTTGAAACGTGCCCCCGAGAACGAGGTGGAAAGACTTCAGAGACTGGGTGATTCTTTTAGGCTGGCTGCTACTATAATTGTCGTTTGGTGAGCCACGCAGGCTTAGAATAATACCCAGGTTTTGAGTATATGGATCAGCAAATGAAATGTTAGTTGAATCCTAAAATTTCTTTTCAGGATAAGTGTGTCTTTCTCATGTGCACCTAATCTGCCGAATTGGTTTGGAGGGTCATTAAAAACTGACACCAGGGCTGGACATGTGGCTCAGTGGCAGAACTCTTGCCTGGCGTGTCCAAGGCCCTAGGTTCGAGCCCCAGCACCACACACACACACACACACACACACGCACGCACGCACACACACCAGGATACCGTCCTTTTTCTTGATGTTTATAGTCAGGATGTTACCAAATATAGTAATGTTGGCAACAAGAGTTAAACAGAAGCGTCACCAAATGACGCATTCGGCTGTAACGAGAAAAACTTTCAGCCTGAATGTTATTGAGTTACTGCTGCAGACTGCAGCTCACATGGGAATGAAGTGTCCTCATTTCTTTCTTTAAGAAGCTGAGGTAAACTGGGCAGATGTGCGTGCCTGTAATCCCGACAGGCTGAGGCAGGAAGATAGCTGTGAGTTCAAGGCCAGCCTGAACTACATAGCAAGACCCTGTCTTCAGAAAAAAACAGTGAAGTAAAATGGGAAAAATACAGCAGTGGGATTTAAAGATTTCAGAATTCTGGAAGAAAGGTTTTTTTAAAAGTTGCTGAAGTGGGGCTGGGGATTTAGCTCAGCGGCACAGCGCCTGCCTGGCAAGCACAAGGTCGTGAGTTCAATTCCCAGTACCGGAAAAAAAACAAAAAAAAAGTTGCTCAACTGGTATTGCCAATTTTTTGTCCAAGGCATAGATAGGGCTGAGTGAATATCTGTTTAAAGCTAGCAATTTACACCATTAAAATAGAATATTTCCTGCAAAGACGGAATAGTGAAAGAATCTGAGGCACAGGGGGGTCCTACACTGCCGTTCCCTAGCCTGTAATAAATCTGTGACATTGTTCGTGTCCGCCTGAGCCTGGCCAGTTCAATAGGATTTAGAAAAGACAGCTTAATAAATAATCCTTATTGTAAAATAGGGATGAACAGGTGTGCAAAGCTTTGAAACTGTTGTTTCGTTTTTGTGTGTCCCTTAATTAAAAATACAAATAAAGGACATTCAATGGTCTCCTATTCCCTGTACTAATTATTTAGAAAACCTTCTTGGGCTTGTTGCCAGCTTTTGTCTCTCTTTGGTGCTAGAAGCCAGATGGTACAGGAAATGAACTTTTTTTTAAGACCAAAAAAAGTTTGTTGTCTTCCAGCCGATGAAGTAATATCCTATTATACAAGTAGTGTGACTTCACAGGCGCTTTCCTGCAGTTGAGACCTGACTTGCTAGAATCCTAAATGTCCAATGAAATATTTAGGAGGCTGAGACCTCAGGTTACTGAACCAGGTGGGGACTTTGTTGAACTGGAAAGACGGATTGAGATAAGGACAAGTCTTAAACTGGTTTTTTGTTTGCTGTTTACTAGAGTGTGCTGTATGGGAAGGGTGTTCCCGGCTGTGGGAAGTGGCATCAGCAGTTTAATAACTGAAGAAGAGTGGTTGATGCTGATCTCAGGTCTTTGATTCAGGACATTAGCTTACCCTTTCCAGGGAGGAATTACCACGGTGCGACAGGCCGGAGGAGAGGCTTCATTAAGTAGTACCTGCCTAGTGCCTTTACACCTGTCTTTAATAGCGTGTGCTGGTTTCGCGCGGGTCTGTGTATACACATGACGCGCTCTGTGAGTACAAAGTAATGACTTAATTGCGGCCGTGCATCCTTCCGTTTTCATTTGGTGAAAACAAAATATTAACTTGCGCAGGGTTCTGTGTGCTTGTCACTGGCAGAGCTGGCGACAAATATCCAGCTAGCTGAATGCCGTGGGAAAGATTACGCACCCCAGCAAGGAAAGTTTGTGGCCTCTGCCTTAAAGCAGTGTGTGGCCGTCTCCTTCAGTGGCCTAAAGCTGCAGATGTGGGTGACACAGAATCGTGAGGAGGAGAGACAGCCTGCTGGCTGAGCAGTTTCCCTTGCCTGTGACTCACCAGGTAGATGTAGTCAGGTCCCTTAGTAGCTTCGTGCTTCAGGTTCGGGGCGCCCCATCTGAAGAGCTGGGCTACTGACCAGTGCAGGTTATGCCGAGCTCCTTCCTGGCTCTTCCTTGGGACGCTTTAATCCTTCCCACTAGAGCTAAACTGCATCTTCAGAGACCTTCAGGATACTTTCCTTTTTAAAATGGGTCTTTTTTTTTTTTTTTTCTTTTTGAGACAGGGTCTCGCTATGCAGTTCAGGCTGGCCTTGAGCTCACTTTGTAGCCCAGGCTGGCCTTGAACTGGCAACGATCCTCCTGCCTCAGCCTCCTGAGTGCTGGGATTACAGGCGTGCGCCACCATGCCCGGCAGTAAGCCCTCTCCCCCGCCAGCCTCCCTGGACTCCTTAGCAGCACCCGCCGGGCTTCTGTCCAGGATCTTTGCGCTTGCTTCGGCTCCGCCTGGAATGCGGTTCCCCTGGATGGACCCACCGTAGACCACTTATTCGATACACTGCCTGCATCTTGGTTGTAACGTCACCGTCGGCACGTTTGTAGATTTCAGGCTCCTGCGGGCAGTACTTCTCTTATCCCGTCTTGCTCCTTGTTCTCCTCAGCACCTCTTAAGCACCTTTTCGGCACAGGTTTAGTTGCTTAACTGCTGTCTGACTCCCGGCTCGGTCTGGGAATGTCAGCAAAGCAAAGGCATCATCCACTTCATGCACTGTTTTATAGCCAGAGCTTAGAATACTGCCTAAACTTGTCAGTCAGTGAATTCCTGTAATACTTTGCTTATATCTTGTAGCTTACTTTGTAAAGTGCTGTCTTGCATATCATTTCATTTGATTTTTACACTCTTACATTAACAAAGCAGTCATCTCTCTAAACAAAAAAGTATAGGGAATTTTTTTTTTTTTCTTTTTTGGGGGCTGTTCCCCCCTCCCCCGCCCCGGAACCAGGAATTGAACTCATGACCTCGCGCTTGCCAGGCAGGCGCTCTGCCACTGAGCTAAACCCCCAGGCCCCCTTTTTTGTCTTTTTGAGACAGGGTCTCTCTATGCAGTTCAGGCAGGCCTTGAGCTCACTTTGGAGCCCAGGCTGGCCTTGAGCTCTCAACAGTCCTCCTGCCTCAGTCTCCCGAGTGCTGAGATTAACAGGCATGCACCACCATGCCTGGCTGTATAGGGAATTTTATTTTATTTTATTTTTCCAGTACTGGGAATCAAACTCAGGACCTTGAGCTTGCCAGGCAGGTGCTTGTGCCGCTGAGCTATATCCCCGGCCCTGTATAGGGAATTTTCAAGTGATCACATTGAAGTGTTCTGGTAAATGGTAATCCAAACTGGACCTCAGGCCTTCCTACTCAGAGTTCAGTGCATTTCCTGCTATATCAAAGGTCTATAAAATTTGTTATGCAGATAAGTATTTCAATTACTTGTGTTACAACTAGTGTCACCTTATATTTTTGCTAAATTTTCATTTCTGGGGTTGTGTATAATCAAAACCTGTTCTATGTGCATATATACTTAAAAAGAGTTGAAAAATTAGTTTTAAAGTAAAGTATAGTTGTATACAAAATGTAAGTATGAATTTAAAAACCATATTGCTGCTTTGCTTAGCTGGTTTGCTCATCTTGAGTAATGACATGAAAAAAAAAAACACCTGGGGTAATTTTCTTACTGTTGGTGCATTTTTTTTTTTCTTGACTTAATTTTTGGTCCCCTTAGGAGTCCAAGATGTGATAAAAAACTTTGCTTTGAACGGTGTAGTCCCAACAGTTGGATTCGTGGGAACTTTAGAAATTATTGAAAGATTTATCTACACTCTGACTCAAGGGTCGGGATTTGATAACTCCATTCGATTAGCAAATAACTAAGATTTTAAAAGTCACAGTACTAAATGATCGTTCCTGAACTAATGACTGTGTCTCCATAAAAGTAGAGTGCTATCTTCCCGCTTCTTATAAGTAAGGGTGTGTCCAAGTGTGCCTTATCTGCGAGAGGGCCCCCAGTTAAAGGGGATTTTAAGTAGAACTCAGGGGTTTTTCTGGATCATTCTGTTTTCCACTGGGATCTGACTTACACAGTATGTGATGAGACGTGGTTCCTTTTTATTTTAAGGACTGGGTCGTATAAAGTGCCTGCGTGAGCTCCATTGTAGTATTCTAAGATTCCTTTGCTGTGCTAGATCTCCAACTTGCTGCTGAGCTTGGGAAGACGTTACTGGATCGGAACACGGAATTGGAGGATTCTCTCCAGCAGATGTACACCACCAATGAGGAGCAGCTGCAGGAGATCGAGGTAATTCCTCAGGGGGAGGTGCGCTTTGACCCGGGGCCTGTCGCTGTTGTAGCAGTCATGTATTGCTGTAATAACAGGTGGGGATTAGAAACAGCATTTAATTTCTAATGCAGACTGTTTTGCAAATAAGAATGATCAGTGAGGTGGGGGGTTGGTTTCTAATTTTTCAGGTTTTCCTAATACTTAAGTGTGCTATAATGGAAGACATTTCTCTCTGAACCCTTATGAAGTATACTGGAGGTAAATGGTCTGGTGTTTGCCAGTATGTAAATCGAAATGAAACTGTGGCATTTTTTTCTTTTAAAAATGAATCACGTGAGCCCAGGATACAGCTCAGTGGCCCAATCCCTGCCTGGCAAGGGCAAGGTCCCAAGTTCAATCCCAAGTACAAAAAAAGAAAAAAGAATCATGCAGTACTTACGGTATAAAGAAGAGTAAAAGAATAATACAATGAAGAGTCATACTCCCACCAGCAGCTTACGCAAGAGAACCGCTCGCACGGTTGAAGATCCGTCTACCCCTCCTGGCTGCCTCCTCCCTCCCCTCACCAGCAAACTCCAGTCCAGGTTTGAGTTTAGGTAAAAAGGTGGGAAGATCATATAGCTCCTTATTTCATGTGTTTAAATTCCTTGTGCCATTCAAGGAATTAATCGTAAAAAATGTGTTCCTGTCCTCTTGCTGAGGTCTTGATTTACTTGCATTGTTTTATGGTTTTTTTTTTAAATATTACTTTTTGCCTAGTTTGAAAAACTAAAATGAGGGCAACCCATGCGGGAGCCCTCCTGTCTCTCAGGAGCTATTCCTGTTCCCCATTCCTGTTCACCATTCCTTTTCCCCAGTAAGTTTTCCTGCTCTTAAAAACAAAAGAAAAACTGAAATGAAAGGTGCTAGTCCAGGGCTTTAAATACCTATTACAGGGGCTGGGGATTTAGCTCAGCGGCACAGCGCTTGCCTGGCAAGCACAAGGTCGTGAGTTCGATTCCCGGTACCGGAAAAAAAAAACAAAAATAAATTAAATAAATAAATACCTATTACAGGCTTTAATATTGTCTTTAAAAAGAAATCAATTGGGGCTGGGGATTTAGCTCAGCGGCAAAAGCGCCTGCCTGGCAAGCGCAAGGTCGTGAGTTCGGTTCCCGGTACCGGAGAAAAACCAA